GTTCAATAGAGTCTTTAATGGAGGACTTTATATTCATTTCACTTCACTTCACACTGTGGTCTTGAATGGTTTTCACGTGGGCCTATAATAGGTCTCCAAATCCGAAAGTAAGGTCACTCAACAAGTGTGTGAAAATGAGGATACAGTGGTATGTGTATAATGATTATAATTAAATGGCATAATTGTAACTTTTAGTGTATAAACTGAAAAAATTAATTGATAATTAAATTAATAAATGTGTACTGAAAGAAGATATTTATTGAGATAATTAAGTCAGTTGAAATAGAATTTCCCACATATTATGCCTCCATTTGAGATGTGGGTTGGCTTTTTGACTTTTTAGCTTTTTGGCTATTTTAGCTTGGGGTTAAAAAGCCTCGTTTGAGATAGACTTTTCGGTTTTTTTTTACTTTTGTAAGAGAAAAAATAAAATGATTATGGGTTAGATGTGACATTTTGTTCTATTTAATTAAACTAAGCAATTTTAGGGTGTTTTAGAAAGTTAGTTAAAAGCTGACTTTTTATGACTTTTTTAGCTAAAAAAATTGGGAAATTCTATTTCTACCCACCTAATTAACTCAAGGCAAATCTTTTCTCAATACACATCCCTATTAATTTAATTATTAATTAATTTCTCAATCCACGTTCTTAAAATTACAATTAAATCCTTCACTCATAACATGGTACACACACTTTACCCTCAAATACACACGATTATTTGATCCTAATTCACATTTCTAGTTCCATCGGTGAACACCAAAGTGACTTGGTTAAAAGGGAAAAAAAATACTTCGCACTTTTCTCACCTCCATTGAAGACTTTGAAGAGCTTCATTGGATCTCTACTAAACACTATTCAAAACCTTATTTAAGGTAAAGAATCTTTCCATTTTATTATTACATTTATCATTTTGTTATTACATTAACCATTTTCGAATATCTCTTCACTTCATGGGCGTAAAAGCATCAATTTTTGGCTTGTTGTGTAGATCTCGGCATTGGGTATCCGAATCCGCGTGTTTAATTCGGTACATAGTTACCGAATAATATGTATATTTTCATTCAATTATTCTGAATAAAATACATAATTTCACACTTTGATTTTCGAATATATTCAATGTTTTAGGTTCTGTTTTCCGAATAGATTCAATAATTTCGGTAATTATTTTTCGAAATATTTGTGTTTGTTCGAACCTGAAGTTTCGAATGGTTTTTTTTTTTATTTTAAATATCTGATATAGAAATTTACACCAAGTTACATAGGCCACTAAGATTGGTTTTACTTTAGGTTCTTTTCCAACAATTTTATTTTATGGGTATGTTTATGTTTTTTTTTTCGAAATTCAATGCATAACAATAGAAACAAAAAACTGTGCAGTATTGGTATTTCCACATGATATTGTTAGCTTAGTAGTTGGGTCTTTAGAAATTTTGTTAGCTAAATAGTTGAACAAAACAATTGCATTATATAAAATATTAACGCTTGAGTTATGTTGCCTTTGGGGTTTGTCCTTTCAAAGCATTAAAATTGGTGCCAAATTTGGTCTTTGTTTGTATACTTACAGCTACAACAAGTTAACAATCAATGGCATGTACAAAGACAAGTGATGGGCAGTCCTTTGATTGTTTGAAAAATGATGTTGGCATTGATTAATGACCATGTTGGCTTAGTAAATTGGCCGAAATGAAGTTAATCTGTTTTTCGCATGTTGTGAACTTCAACCAAACTAATTGGTGAATGATCTGTATAGAATACAAATAGTTTTGCTATATCCATGTTTACATTGTAATTTTTCAACAAATCCTAGTCTAAATCTTTCATAAGTAGTAGGGTTGTGTATTTAACTTATTTTGTTAATTTCACATCGTCCAAATTGTGAATTTAATGGTCTATAACTGCGTATTCGATTTCATTAAGGTGGCATGGTTAGGCTACTTATTACTTGCATTGATGTGATCCTTTTCTGGGAGTTCTTATTCTATTTCATTATATTGGGTTGATGAGAACAACTTTCCTTATGTACATGGATGCTAGTCCCAGTGAACGTCGGTCAGTAACAGCTTCGAACAGAAGACTCTGTGAATTAGTGTAACAACCCTCACTTCTGATTAATGTTAAACTGTGACTGAGCATGATAAGTCACTGATAAGAATGATATCCTGAATCAATTGTATGAGTGTATTATTTTGAATGCATTTCTATCTGTTTAATTTCTGAATGATCTGTTCACGTTTTAATTTCGAACTGCAAATTGAAAGCCTTATCGGCGACCGAATCAGAAATTGATTAGTGTTTTATGATAGTAAGAATTTATGTGATTTTATGGTAGATTTAATTTAAATTTGATTTGGAATGATTAAATTAGCATGGTTAATGTTAAATTACATTAACTTGAATTATTTGCATTTTTGCCACTAGTGGGCACTTTAGGCCATTAATTGATTTTATATCATTTTGTTGCACCATTCTCATCCATCTTCTTGCCAAAAACCATGAGAGAGAGGGAGGTAGGAGAAACTTGATTTCATTTGAGAGTTGCTTGAGACTTAGAAGAAATTGAAGGGGGAATTGCAAAATTAGACCTCCATACTTGGAAGTCAAGACCTAGGTAAGGAAATCATCTTCTTAATTGTGAATTTAAGCTATTTCTTGCATGGTTCATGGAAAATTTAGAGTTTAAAGTCAAGAATTAATTTAAAGAGTTGAATTGTGAGCTAATTCATGCATGCATGTACATGTTCTAGCATTTTGAAGTTGTTCTTCATGAAATTCTTACATGCAAGTTCATATTTTGGTTGTAGTCCATGAATTCACCTTGATTTTGATCTCAATCTTACATTTGATCATGATTTGGAGCATTGGAGTCCATTAGAACTCATGCATGTTATGTTCTTGCTTAGTTCATGAAAGTTTCTTTGAATTGTGTTCAATTAGCTCACCTTTGGGCTTTATTTTACAAAATTGATCTAGAAAATATGTTTTAGTATGAGTTTTCAAGTGTTTTCCAGAAAATGGGCCCAAACGGTTGAGTTTTGAAGTGTTGAATGCTTGGTTTGAGCTTGAGAGGCAAATTTGGAAATTCCAGATTTTGGCTTCCACGCTCGAGCGAAGGATTCCACGCTCGAGCAACCATCTTTTGTTCAGAGCTCCGCTCGAGTGAAGGAATGCTGGCTCGAGCGTAGATTGCAAGCTCTCAAGTTTTCTGCATGTGTAGACGCACACTCGAGCGAAGAAACCTACACTCGAGCGAGGATTGTGTCTCACGCTCGAGCGAGCGTCAAGCGGAGATTTTCAACATCCAGCACTTTTTGCATTTTTACAGACTGCTCGAGTGAGGAAGTCCACGCTCGAGCGACCCCTCTATTTTGGCACGCTCGCTCGAGCATAGAAAGCCACGCTCGAGTGAGACCCCTGTTTCGGCAAAAATTTGAAAAGTGTTATAAAGTGCATTTTGGCATCCTCATTCCATCCTAGGCATTCCTAGGCCAAGTTTAAGGCATCTTAATGAGGATAATGTTATAGAACCACACCATGTATAGTTAAGGGCTAAGTTATTGATCCCGAGTGTGTGTTCGTTCTGTTACTCTGTAGGGTTGGCATCTGAGGACGCTCGTTAGCTTGTCTATAGCCCAGTGCTCTGTGAGTAACAATGTTGTAAAGATATGTTCAATTATGATTATTTTCTGAATGATCAACTGTACTGCTTACTGAAATGTTAGTGTTCAATGAATGAATGTTTATCCTATTTGTAAACTGTACTCGTGGCATCCATAATAACCTATTGTTACTGTTACTACTACTGTTACAGAGATCTCTGTCGGCCCCAATGTTGGGACCATTACTGTTCACTGTTTAATGGCCATCAACTGACTGTTCGGTCTGTTAAGACCTACTGTACTACTTTGCTATTGGATGTACCACATATGACTTTATGTTTCCTAAATGACCGTTATGGCATGAAATATGAGCCATTGACTGAATAACTAATACAATTGACTGTTTTAATTATTGAAAGGACATTCATTCTTAACCCCTTTACGCATATGTTATTCACTGGGCTTTAGCTCATTGTTTATATTTATATGTAGGTGTCCAGGCACCGGACCGATGCTAGGAGCGTCAGGTTAAGCTCCCGTTTTGTCAAGCCAACCGTTGTGCCTCACCTCGAGGTTCCCAGTTCATTCAAGCCAAGGCTGCTTTGGGGAGTTCAGGACCACCCTTTTGTCTCTGTTTTGTAATAAATGAATAATTTTTGACTGTACGATTATGTTGAAGGGACTTGGTCCCTAACCTGGATGTTATGTATATGTCTGATATGTATATATGTTTTGTTTATCAACGTGACTTGTGCATAAAATCTTTTTGCATTCAAATTGTCACAGCTCATTGGACATTTTTTATATACTATTTTGGCTTCCGTCAACCCCTTTACTCTGTATTACTGTCATTACTGTTAAGCAGGCCTTCGGTAATCACGGATTACTGGCCGGTTACGATGCTAAACCCATAGGGGCGAGTTTGGGTCGTGACAATTAGAAAGACGTGGACATGGAAGTGCTCGAGTTCATGATGATGACATGCACATTGCCATGGATGATGATCCTATACATGGTGCACTAGTTTTGGATGATATTGCTATATATGATGACCCTACTGGTGATGATGCTGATGTTGTTGATGAAGATATCCTTACTCAGCCATTTCTGGGAGGGCCAACTAATCCATCAATCCTTAAAAGTTTAAAAAGTCATGTTACCGCAACTATTTGGAATGGTGCTGATGAAAGGGGGCCCTTGAAGTGTCGTAATCACTCGTCTAAGATTCGTTCGTGGCCTTAGTGGGAACAAGGAAACAACGCTACATTTGTAAACATTGTGGAGATGTCAGGACTTGCACAATCAGCTCGTTGCACGTACCGCTTTGTCAACAAAATTGTAATGTCTAGTTTTGTTGAGAGATAGCAACCGGAGACAAACACCTTCCATTTGACTGTTGGAGAGATGACTATCACATTGGACGATGTCACCACTATCTTAGGGCTTCCCATTGTAGGCAAATCTATTAGTGTGCGTAAGTTGTCAAAAAGGCGGGCCATTGCATTAGTAGTTAATACTTTGGAAATTGATGAGCATGACGTTAGACATGAGATGTGTAGTGCTGGAGGCAATTCAATGAGGCTTGAGTGGTTGAGGGCACACTTTCATAATGTCATAGAAAATAATTCAATGGAAAGAATTGCATGGGCAGGTAGAGCATACTTACTATTTTTGTTAGGTTGTACACTTTTCAGTGACAAGACTTGTACTAGGGTCCCCATTGTTTATTTGAGTTTGTTATCCGATTTGACGACTGTATCTTCATATGCTTGGGGTGCTGCTGCATTGGCATACTTATATAGACAAATGGGGTACGCTAGCAGGTTCAGCGTGAAACAATTAGCTGGTTACATGACACTCCTTGAGGGATGGATTTATGAGCACTTTCGTGGATTCCGACCACACTTGAATGTGAATTACACTCGAGACATACCACATGTTCACTGTTGGACTTCTCGGAGAGAGTCTGGTGAAGAAACACAGTTGCAAGCTTTTCGAGAGGAGCTTGATAGGTTGGGTGTACATGATGTAAGTTGAAAAGTCCGTCAAAATTTGAAACTCTATATCATACAAAAATTACAATTGTCATATCTTACAGTTATTATTGTTTGCAGGTTATTTGGGACCCGTACCAGAATTGCAGTGATGTCCATCCGTGTCACCCAGTTACGTTCTACCACGGTTGCCTAAAGTGTTTGGAAGTAGTTGAACCATATCACCCTGATAGAGTTTTGAGATAGTTTGGCAGAGTGCAAACAATCCCTAATCCACCACTTGGCCCTATGCGTGCTTCTCAAGGAGCCACAGCTCCACGCTACAATGTTATGTATGTATACTTGGACATCATTTGGGAGGCATGGGACAACCATGTGTTATCTGATTGGAGGAGGAGTACACCGGTACGGCAACCTTGGGATTGTGTTCCTGGTTACATGGATTGGTACCAAACCATTACCCATATGTATGTACGAAACCTAGCGCGTCGTTCTCAAGTGGACCCTAATATCCATCATTATCAGTATCCTAGCCAAGACGCACAAGTATCATTTTTTTCATTTACATTGCAAATTATTTATGTAAACTGTTACAAGTTTGTATATAATGTTATATTTGTTCTCGTAATGTAGCGTATGTCACAGATATATCAGATTACTCATCATTTCGGTAAGGCTGGCTATGAGGACAGTGTTCAACATCCTGATAGGCTTTACTACGCAATTGATGCAATCGAACAACTTCTTCAAGATCAGCACATTATTGAAGCTGCGCCCAGCACATCCACTCAGGGTCGGTCTGCACCCAGCTCTTCCACTGCACATCGTTTTGGAGCACATTACACTCGCCGGTCACGTAGTTAATAGTAATTTATAATGTTAGCACAAGTAGTTTCTGATGTATAAGGAGACAAATATTATTATTATCTTTGGATTATGTATTTTTGGATTATGTACAAGCACACATGTAGTTTGTGATGGTGTGAATGGATTGAACTACTATTTAATATTATTATTATTTTTTTTACATACTTGTTTAATCTTATTACATTTTAACAGCAGTTGCACTTGGTTAATATTATTTTCATTACATTTTGTGTTTAGACAATGTAAAAATAATATGACATCCATTTCATAAATTAGAGAACTATAATGCATATAATATTCTATTTTTTTTATAAAAAAAAAATTGACCATTACAAAATCTAATGGCAAAATGATATCCATCTCGTTACTCCATGCTAGTAAATCATAAAAACTAATGTCTTAAAGCTGTCATTACTACTCTGTAATACATCAATCTACGTCAACTACATCAAATGTCTCTCGAGTAGCTACATTAGGTCCTATGTTGTCTTTGAATTTTTGAATGCGACTAACATATGCATTCTCCCATTCTGATGCACAAGGGTGATGGTGAACTCACCAAAGCACAGCAATGGGAGGAACTGGATGACCGACCTCCAAAAATACCTGCACGTACATCCAATAAATTACATATCTTTACCAAATACATAAAATTTGCAGTTACACAAATATTAGACAACAATGTTCGGTTATTTTCATAACTTATACCTGCACAAAATGGTTTCCATTGACAAATCTAATGACAATCTCACGACGATTAGCTAGGGTTACTGGCAATGATCTCAAAGGTAAGAAAGTGAGACACTGTTGCAATGACAAGTGGTATAAGACTACACTATAAAATGATGCAATAAGATGCCCCATGTCAGGCATAGTCATCCAACGATCAAAGCCTGGGCTATCTTCAAAATATGAAAGGATGTGTGTCAGTTCCTCAACCCTCTCATGCGACCCGTATAGTACGACGTATTCATCTTTATGATTATTCAATTCAAGTAGCAGATCACGCCTAACTTGCACCCAATCATTCTCTCCAAGACCAAGTGAACCCGCAATAGCTCTAAATCCACAATTCCCATCACCATCTACATCCTTCATCAAATTTATGAATAATATTAACATAGACGGGAAGTCACCAACATATGCACTCGGTAAACTTGTTCTTGTACGATATGTCTTTGTCTTCACATTCCGCTGCTTCTCAAGCACTTTTGAAGCTCTCTGTTTTTTTGACTGACTGGAAGCTAATGTGCTTTGGCTAACATGCCCATCGTCAACCAACTCAAATGCACGCGGGTCACGACGACAAGATATATCAATTTTCTTATGTCCTCGACATGGATTAGGTTTCACATCAGGCTCAATAAGAAAAGTGCTTGCTGGATTTGCAATTTCCCTCAACTTCTTCAACATATCCAATTACATGGCAATATCAGACTCTTTGAACTGCTTTGAAATCATCTCAAGTTCTGGGATACAAGTCAATTCCAACTTCTCAACCTTCGGATTATGCACACATCTAGTAAGTTGCATCCAATGTACATGTATGCTACTGAGTGGAATAGGACGGCCTTGTCTCATGTAATCTGCAATCTCGTGAGCACAAGGTAAACCATACGTGCGCCTAAGAACACACCCACATGTTGCAACATCAATTCCAACTGAATTTGCTCTCTTACTCTCTGCCAACACGTACTCCAATGCACAAATAGACACATTACCCCGGAGCTCTCTGAATTGAGAAGGTTTGAATTGATGTTGTACAGTTGTCAAACTCTTCTCGAATGATGCTTTAACTTGAATGTGCTGCAACTCAAGTAGACAATGTATTTTTTCAAATGAAATCTCAAATGTAATTTGACTTGAACCTAATTGCCTCTTCAATCGAGCATGAGCACTCTCAACCTTGTTCATATGGATGTAAACCAAAATAGTCAAGCATAATAATTAAAAATAACAATACGATTTATAATAAATTAAAAAAAAAAATCTTACCGATTGGTTGTAACATTGCCAAAATGCATACACATGTCTGTATGTACCGCAATGAATTTTTCTTGATACGGATTTAACCAACTCACAGTAACATACTTGATTGCCTTCGAATAGTTATTGAAACCCTTATGTAGTGTTGCGAGGTGATCATTGTATTCCTCTTTAGTCGATGACAATATCAAATAGTTCCATGCAGTGTTAAACTTGTCCCATTTTTCTTTTGTCTCAAACATTTTCTTGCATTTTGTCAATACATTCTTATTAATATGCCAACGACATAACAAATGTCCAACATTTGGAAATGTGTTGTCAATGGATTCGTCAAAGCAAGCTCTCTGTCTGTGACAATGACTTCAGGTAAAACACCGTTGTCCATAAGATCACGCAATGTTTGTAACACCCATGCATAATTATCAACCCGCTCAGTTTGCAAGTATGTGATAGCCACGGAGAATGTCATATAAGTTGATGTCACTCCCACAATTTCAAAAAGAGGAAGTTGATATCTATTCGTCTTATATGTGCCATCTATAATCAATACACAAGGGAATGTACGAAGCAAATCCAAACTCACTGGATGTGCCCAAACACAAGTCCGTGACAGTCATAGAGCCTTCCTCACATCGATGGCGCTCAATGTACTTATGTTTCGCTAATTTACCTAGCAGTTGTTGCATCTGGGATCTACCAGCTTTCTGTAGAACTTTACATCGATGTCGTACATTGTAAACTGTCTTCATTGTGCTCATATTAAGGGCATCCCTCTGTTTGAGTATAATGAGTATCTTTTTTGGTCTTACTAGGCTCTTTGACATATTTACTAACAACGACTTTTCATTGGCTGACAATTTCCCTGCATATGAATGCCCTTGGAGATGCTCTGCAGCTGGATGATTATGTAGCCCGTAAACTATATTCAATATCCATTCATCGTTTGTTTTCAACTTGAATGCCCTCAAATCAAATGGACATTCGCACTTCTTCATACCAGTTTGTCTCAATAAGTCTTTTGAGCCATCTTTCAACTTTTAACACAATCTATACTTCCCATTCCGCTCACAAACAAGATCACAAACAAGATAAATTCTTGGTCTCTTACGACTGCCACCATGGTCCGACGTCCTTATAATAATAACAAAGTCATTTATCCTTCCAATGTCACGCACCCAAGTGGGCAATTCATCTTTGTTGTAGAAAACCTATATATAATGTCACACAACTTTCATAAGAACAAACTAAACAACCTAACTAATACAAATTATGAACTTATGAATTTTATGTTAAAAGTTACATGTTTAGCTGTAAAATGACTAGTACAATCCACCATAATATCTGATCGAACCTCAAGTTCTTCAGTGCATGCCATCTAAAAAGGATGGGGGAAAAATTTAATTCGGTTTTACAGAGCCAAAATAAGTAAAAAAATTCAGAACTACAAAAACGAAAATAACAAATAATTTTGGAACTCTATAACCGAAAAAGTTAATTATATTCAAAACTTAAAAACCGAAATAAATTAATAAAATCTACATTAAAGTGACGAAATATGTAAAAAAAATCGGTACTTTTGTAACGAAATATTAATTTTATTTCGGAAGTTGATTTCTGAATTAATTCATAAAATTCAGCACTGAGTATTTGACTAAAAAACGCAAAAAAGCAAAAAAATTACTACGCGATTTTACCTTTTCATCACTGATTTTGCTGTTACTATTGCTTGAGTTTGAACTTCCATAGGTTTGCAACTCTTCCATAGCAAAATCAAATAAAAATTGTTGAACTAATAATTAAATGATGTTAATAATTGAGTATAAACCTAGAGATTAAAGCAATATGAGAGATGTTTTGAGAGTATTGCTCTTTGCAAGTAACAAAGGAGTACAGAGTTTGTAACAAGCAAAGTGACCACAATATAAAAAGTAGGGTTTAATTATTTTCATTCAAAAGGTGTATATTGAGATATTTTTATTCATAAAAGATGTGTATAGAGAATTTATGTATATAATATTAGGGGTGTTGATAGATATCTATTATAGTAATTTTTAATTAGGATATGATTGTCATTAAGTTAATTTTTTATTGAGTGATTCTACTTGCACCACTATTTAACCTCTTTACACCATCCATCACATTAGACCACTAAAAAAAATGTAATTCTTTTTACACCCCCAATATATTATCAAAACTAATCTTAAATTAACTATTTCATCTCTTTACACCACTAATTTTGTTAACACAGTGCTAAATAATATACGTTATTCCGGTGTTATGTTGACGGAAAAAATAGATCTCTTCAGCATTTTGTTACTATACATTTATAGAGTCACTTTCTTCCAAACAATGATTTTTTAATTTGTGGTGGATCTGTTCGGTAATACAACTCTAATTAATTTGAATTACTCCAGTACTATGTTACTGGACAATATTTTTTTTCCCAGCATTATGTTGCTATGCAATTAGATGATAACAAAAAATTAATTTTAACCACTTGTGAAGTGCTTGTTCAATGATACATTGTTACACAAATGGGATTACTCTAGTGTTATGTTACCAAACTACAATAGAGTTGTCTAGACCCCGTTGCTGTATATTGAAAGATTTACTTTTTCCTTGAAGCATTCGTAAAAAAATTCATAAATCAAACACAGATCCATAAAATCATACATAAAAAGTATCCATAAAATTATCCATAAAAACATTAAGTGTACGAATATCTATAAAGTATCCATAAAATATGTCATTGTTTGCATCTATCAATCAAACATTTTATCACAATTCGTCTTGGCAATTTGTAGGTAAGTTTTCCCCTAACTAGAAATAGACATCCACACTTTTTAGAACATGTCTACCTCAATCGTTCCCTCTTGATCTTCATGTTGTCTCTATAGTAACCACTTCTTTCATAAGTAAGTGTAAGTCTTGGTTTTCTTTCATTGCCTCCCGCATCTATGTCTTTATAAAAATGACAAATCTAGTCTTCTTGCCAATGTCATAAGCCCATTTAATTAACGCTTCATGACTACTAAAAATCTAAACATAATAAATATATTTATACATCAAATTATTAATAAAACTCAATACAAATTAAAAATAAGAAAAAATCGTATTCATAAAAAAAAAACCTCAACAAACCTCATATGTAATGAATTCATGACTAGAGTCCACTAATATTGCAGTACTTGCATTGTTGCAATGAGTATAAGTATAATTCTTCCAGGCAAAAAAATAAAAAATATAAAAAAATGAAACTGAAAATACATGGTAATGAGAAGCCAAACAAATATAAAAAATTCGGTTTGGGATTACTGGAAATGTATCTTTTATTCGGTAGTTAGTTACCAAACTTATATTTTTTGTTCAGCAATGTGATGACGGACTATTTTATTTTATTCGATTTCGAACCACTGAACGAAAGTCGAACACCAGTCCAGAAAAACAAAACAAAAACCTACCAAATAAATAAAAAAACTCACAATTTCACTTTTTTGATGGTTCTTCACTACCGTTTCTTCATTCATTACTTTCTATGATCAAAATAGTACGATTCTCACTTTTTGAAAAGAGATGCGTAAGAGAAAAGAAAAATTAAGAAAGGAAAAAGAGGAGTAGGGATTGAAGATCAATGATGTAAAGAGATAACAAAATATATTTAATTTTAGTATTTTGTCTTTAAAGGTAAATTTCACACATGAATAAAATTAGGGGAAAAAAAATCATATGGAGGGTATAAAGAAATAAAGTAGTGGTGTAAGTAGAATCATCATTTTTTATTAAGTGTGTGTTTCCTGAATTTATCAGGTAGGTGAAAATAGAATTTTCTAAAAAAATTAATTTTTTATGACCTTTTTAACTAAAAAAAATTAAAAAAAATTAAAAAGTTAGCTCTTTATGAAATTCTCAAAACACCAATTCATCATATAATACTATTTTAGGACAAATGTATATCCCAAACATAGCCTATAGATATTTGGTTATAGACTCAACTAAGGGCAATAATAAAGTACGTCTTGTTTCCAAACAGCCCATAATATAACTCAAACCCTTAATTTTCCCTTTGTGCGATTTCAGCATCTTCATCGTCTTCGTTGATTAGCAGAACCAAAGAAGTCGAAAACGCTACATCAAACCATCTTCGCATAAGAAAATTAGCACATAACCATTCCGTATACCGACGATTCACTCTTATCTTCGCAAAGGCATGGCTGATTTCGGTGGATCTGTGCAGAATCTGTGAATCAAAAGGTTCAATTTTGTTTATTTTTTTCAATCCAACGATACATGATGAATCGTGATTCCAGAAAAAAACTCGATCGATACGTGTTTGTTTACGTTTCAATAGCATTAAATTTCTTCCACAATTTGTCATAATTTTAGCTTAATTGGGACGAATTACCAGAGTATGATAATTGTCATGTCGGTTATTTTTTATTTTTTAAAGTTTCCAAGTCCCTTGTATGGAATTTTTTTTAACTACTCTGTTTGTTTGTTGCAAACACTTTCTAGAAATGGTTTCCCTTGGGACTATCATAATCAATACTTGGTAGGAGAGGATTTTGAGGCTGTAAAATATGGGAAAAAATACATAATTCTGAAAAGGACAAAGATATTTGTCCTTTTGGGTCGTTGCCTTTTCCCTGTTATTTATTTATTGTTTTGATTAGTTTGCAAAATAGTTATTTATTTTTTAAGTTGACTGGCTTGTTCTCATATTTCTTTTTGGGTACAGGCATGTGGAAAAAAATACATAGTTCATGAATATGTACGAGTTCTTTATACATGATGGCTCGAGTAGATGAAGATGCATCATTGCAGGTGATTTAATATGGAATTTTCATGTAGATGGTGGAATTGTAAAATTCCTGAGTTATACTTAGTATTTTTATTTTTATTTTTATTTTTTTATATTTGTTGCGTAAGTGAAGTGAAGTACTTGGTATTTAAAGATGAATGTGCAGGCACATATGTCTGGACAAATCTCAGGGCAGGTACCACCTAATCAAGCTGGCACTCAGGTGCTTGGACTACATCAGCAGAATGGAAGTTCTCTTTCTACACAGTTACAAAATTTAAGTGGTCGTCGTAATACACTGATTATGGAACCTGAGTTAGTGAAAGCACGCAGATTTATGCAAGAGAAGATGTAAGCCCTGTTATTTATTCCCTGTTTTCTTTATTGTGTGTTGTAGAGGTGGGGCTTGAAATTGGGCAAATAATGATTTATGGCTGCATTGCATAATTATGGATCGTTAGAAATTCTATGTAAGAAATCATGGATCAACATAGGCAACTTCAATGTGATCATGAGACTATTCATTCTTTGCTTTTGTTGAATGTCAACTGATAATTATACTTCTCAATCTTATCTTATTTCAAAAAAAAAAAAAAAGAAAAGAAAAAAGAAAGTAAAAGAGACACTCATTCTCTGTACATTGTCACCAAGAATGCCAACCAAATTAGACCATTGTTTGGGGCAGTCTCTGTATAGCTTGGACATAGCGCAGCTGCAGCAAGTGGCTGGATATCTTATTCATATTGTTTGACTATTGGACTTAAGTCTAAGGTCGGAAACTTGTGCTTGGAAAGATCAAGTATCAATTGTCTAATTTCAAATTAATTGCTAGCTGTTTAAATCTTGATTTTACCATGGGAACACTAGTGTTGAAGAAAATTACACCATAACCAAATCACAGATATAATTTGACCTGACAAGTGTTTGGGTTTAGCAATCTCCACCTTAAAATGGACTTATTGGAGGTGGGCCAACATGCTCAACACCTAATTGGGCTTGGGTTAATTTTCTGCGCCCAATCCAACCAGCTTGACCTGCAACCCAACCTTATAGTGAACAAAAGGTGGAAACATGATGTTGATGGAAATAATTTGCATGTTATGCTTGTAGCATTGATGTTGCTGGCCTCTTTAGTATCAATTTGTTTTTTGTTTTCTATTTTTATTTTCTGGAAAAACACAAGAAGTTTGTATGGAAAACTGTATTAAGAAAATCTTATGAAAACCACTTTCTAGGAAATGCCAAAAAGTTACTTTTGAATTTTCAAAATTTGTTTTTGCACAATAATGAAAACAATGGGTAAGCAAGCTAGTTTTTCATTGTTTTTGTTTCCAAAAACACAAAAAAAAGAAAAAGAAAAGCAAAGATAACGAAAACGAGAACAATACCAAATAGGCCCCTAATAATTTGTTTCTGACTGAGAAATATGGGATAACCCCCTTCATTCTATGGTGCCTGAGGATAATACCTTTATTTTAAAATATTTTTTTTCGTGCTTTTGCCATGGATCTGAAGAAAGCTGCAATCAAGAGGATTCTCTCTCTTCCTGATAGGAATATCATGAAATTCTTTTTTCTTTTCTAATCAACCAGGACTAGCTTAGTTGGTTAGAGCGCTTGCACCTCACTAGGAGGTCAAGGTTTCAAGTCTTGCCACAGAAAACACTCTCTCCTCCCCCAGGCTATGGACTCCAATGTGCCAAAAAAGATTCCCACCGCCCAACACACCCCCCCCCCCCCCCCTTCCACAGGGACGAGAGGATTGGATTGATCTGTAAGAAGAAAGGTTGGTGTAAATAACTCAATTTGGACTGGGTACTCATAACCTCTGGCTTTATCTGTGCAAGCCCCAAAGTGGCTGCTGCAAGACGTGAACGCGCATCCACATGCTTTTGAGTTCTAGCTTTTATCATAGCAATGGTTTCTGCTTTAATTAGACACTCCCACTAAATTATGATACCAATGCCTCATAATCTTTATCATGCCTCTCTCTCCTTTCCGTATTGTTTCTGTTGTGGCTATTTAATGTTGTATTCGAGTGGTTGCTTCATTAAATTGTTTGTGCAATACACATATAGAAGATTTTCAATATAGCTGAATACTGATTCAGAATTTCTATCTCCTTTTCTCCAGCTATGAATATCTTATGCAACGGCAGCAACAAGCTCATGATATACAACCAAAGCGGGTTCAAGATATTGTAAGACGCCTGGATGAAGGTCTATTCAGAAATGCTGCCTCAAAGGTTCTTTAATGTTGTCTCTCGTATTCTCCTTTTTATGCAATCCTATTGGTGAAGTATATATCTTGTCAGTTTTCAATGGAATGGAAGCATAGAATAACTGCCTTTTTATCTTTGTATTTTTGCCATAGGGATCTTGTTGCAGTACTGAACAACTATCAAGAATTTTATGAAAACAACTAATTAGTAGACTACATTTGTATGTTGATTCTATTATGTTTTGTTTATGACATGAGCTTTCTTGTATTGCTAGGAGGAGTATCTGAGCCTGGAGACTCTGGAGAATCGTTTGCATGTTTTGATCAAGCGTTTACCAACGAGTAATCATAACCAACAGTATCCGCAGCTTGCTAATTCTTCCTCTCCTATTGCTACAATGATACCAACTCCGGGTATGACTCACATTGGGAATTCAAGCATGATGGTTACATCATCTGTGGATGCTTCCATGATTGCTGCCAGTGGTGGTAATAACATAGCACCTGCAACTGGCAATACTGGAAGCTTATTGCCAACTGCCAATGGGCCTGCTGTTGGGATGCACGGAGGTCCTTTCAATTCCTCTGATGGTACTTAGACTTTATATCTTGTACATCAATTATTATCAATTGCTCTTCCATCATACTGACGTAAAAAAATATACTTTTGCAGGGTCTATGTCTAATGGATATCAACAGTCGCCTTCCAATTTTTCCATAAGTTCCAGTGGAAACAACATGCTGTCCTCAATTGGTGTACAAAGAATGACAAGCCAAATGATCCCTACTCCTGGATTTAATGGCAAAAATAATCAGTCTTTCATGAATTTGGAATCTTCTAATAATGCTGGTGCTTTTTCAACTGTTGAAACTACTATGGTATCACAGCCTCTGCTACAAAAGCAGCATGTTGGTGGTCAAAACAGTCGGATATTGCACAACCTTGGTAGCCATATAGGTGGTGGAATTAGGTCTGGTTTGCAACAGAAATCTTTTGGATATTCAAATGGGGCATTAAATGGTGGTTTGGGTATGATGCGGAGCAACTTACAGACGATCAATGGTCCTGGAACTTCTGAGGGCAGTTTGACAGCCGCATCATATGGCAGTTCACCCAAACCTTTGCAACAGCAGTATGATCAACATCAGCAGCCAATGATGCAGGGTACTCTCTCATTCCCAGTATGGTACATCTTGTGTGAGGTCTGACATGTCACTCATTTAGAAGTATGTGGAAGATGTGACCTTGATGTCGTAGTTTTTATCTAAAACTGTGTTCTCACTGCTCATAATTTATTTGGCAGGTGATGGATATGGGATGATCACTCCTGATTCTTCTGGGTCTGGAAACTTCTATGGTCCTGTAACCTCTGCTGGTTCAGCAATGAATAATCAGAATTTCAATCCAGCAAGCTTGCAGTCTCGATCAAGAACCAACTCTTCGTTGATGACTAATCAGTCAAATCTGCACACTACCCAACAGGGTGCACATATAAAATCTGAATCTATTGATCCATCAGAAAAGATGAACTTCCAAGCATCGAGCTCATTGCAAGAAAATCTCTTACAATCTCATCATCAGCAACAATTTCAGCAGCAGCCCCATCAGTTACAACCCCAATTTGCTCAACATCAATGCCAACAAAAGCAGCAAATTCAGCAGAACCAGATATTGTTAAAGAATGATTCTTTTGGTCATTCTCAGCTGACTTCTGATCTAGGAAGTCAGCTAAAGCCTGAGCAAATCGAGTGCCACGATGAAGTTATGCACTCACAAGTTTTAGAACAGTTACAATTTTCTGAGTTGCAGAACCAATGGCAGCAAAGTTCTGCTGAAGATCATTCCAGAGGCACACAGTTTCTTTCTCCTCCATCTGTCTCGCAGAATATATGCTCATCACTGACTCAAACTTCACAACAGATGCAACAATTGTTGCATCCTCACATGCTGGTTGTTGACTCTCAAAATGATTTTAGCTGTCTTTCTGTTGGAGCACAGTCAGAGAGACTACTGCGAAGCCAATGGCATCCGAAGTCACAGGACAGGTCTCAAATAGCAGGGAACTTCTCGCATGAGAAGAATATTCAAGAAGAATTCCGTCAGAGAATAACTGGGCAAGATGAAGCGCAACGCAATAATTTATCATCAGAAGGATCTATTTGTCAAATTGTTGTTACTAGAACAGTAGAGCCCCCAAACTCAGGTGGCGCTACCTGTAGATCTGGTAGTGCCAACCGTGAACGGCAGTTCAGGAATCAACAAAGGTGGCTATTGTTTTTGAGGCATGCTCGTCGTTGTATGGCCCCAGAAGGGAAATGCCAGGAAGTTAACTGCATAACTGCTCAAAAACTTTGGATGCATATGGACCACTGCAATGTATCTCAATGTCCATACCCTCGTTGCCACCACACGAAGATACTACTTAATCATCACAAGCGTTGCAGGGACCCAGGTTGCCCTGTTTGCATTCCAGTCAAGAATTATCTGCAGACACAACTGAAGGCACATGCTCATTCAGATTCTAATTCTGGCTTGCCATGTTTGGTCAATGGATCCTGTAAATCACGTGATAGTGGAGACATGGCAGCTCGATTCACTTCAAAGACAAGTCCACTAGTTGTTGAAACTACAGAAGATTTACAAACTTCGCTGAAACGCATGAAGACTGAGCCATCTTCTCAGTCTCTTGTTCCTGAGAGTGAAAGTTCTGCTGTTTCAGTTCCTACCAGCAGTGAACCTCACATACTTCATGATGCACAATGTGAGGAATACCAACATGATGACATTTATATGCCATTGAAAGCTGAGGTTATGGAAGTGATGGAAATTCCTGTAAACCCTGGGCAAGGAAGTCCTAATATTAGTGATCTGAAGAAGGATAATATGGATGATTCCTACTGCCAAAAATCTGTAGGTGAAACTGTTATGTTGAACAATCCTGCTGGTTCTGATCAGCAACAGTGCATTAAAAGTGAGAAAGGGATGGACCAAGCTAAACAGGAAAATGTAGCACTGCCTGCTGAAAATGCAACTGGATCCAAGTCTGGGAAGCCAAAAATAAATGGAGTATCACTGACTGAGCTATTCACTCCTGACGAAGTGAGGCAGCATATTATAGGTCTCAGGCAGTGGGTTGGCCAGGTTAGTTTATGCATCTGCTTATGTTAAATTTTGTTTAAGGTCATCAGTTATATTACTTTTTCTGGACTAGGGAAAACTGACTGGCACCTTTAGGTTTATTTTTGCTGTCAAGCAACATGCAATTTGCTGAGTGTCATGTCCTAGGTATTTGATAGTGATAACAAGCGTGGCTTGCTATCCAGGAGGATTTGAAGATTTTACTTTCCCAACCATCACATTTTTCCTGCACTTTTTTAGTAGATCCCATTGCCCTCATTTTTTATGGTTCTCTTTAAGCATCCTCAAAATAACGCAATGTTCTATGCTTTTTAATAGCGAGGATCAGAAAAAGTTGGAACAAAACTAGGATATGTGCTTCAGATAGTATATTAGTTCTGTGGGCATGAAATAAATACACGCGCTGACACTTATATACACAGATGTACAAATATGTATGTGTGTAGACTTGTGTGTTTGTAGAAGCCTGCAAACTGTAGAAGGTAAAAGATTTGTATGGCAATATAATGACGAATGGAGCAGGTTGTACTACTATTTATTTGCAATTCAGCATAGTGAAGACCATTAGACGATGTCAGGATCACACTTAATTTGAAACATGTTTACCATTAATAAATCAGCACTAATCATACAGAAAAATTATGAAAATGATATATCCATCAGCACTAATTGTAGAAAAAAGTATTTACAAAAATGGTATATATATTTAAATCTGACTCAATTATCTTTGAAATAAATTGAATTTTGACTGAAGGAATAAAGGGAAAGCAAGTTGAGTATTTTTAAGTTTATAGGGAACAAAAGTCCACTTCATCAATAGGAAATAATTGGGGGTAAAAATACTTGATTATTCCCATGTACATGCACTGCAGAACCCTTCTTTCCCAAATGGGATCCATTTAATTTATTTACAATTCAAATCTAGGTACAAAATATAAAATCAGAAAAGACAAATGAGGCAACACAAAATTCATAAAATTGCTGTTGTGAACATGAGCTGATGCGGATTCCTCTTCATCTGACTAGAAGCAAATAAGTGATTCATTGATATGGGTACCATCTATAAATATGAAATACCCATTCAGAGTTTGCCTATTTCAATCCTTTAAATAATCCATGATCATGAACTCACCCATTGCCACCAAAAAAGTGTAGAAAGTTTACCTTAACAGGACCTGCATGAATACACAACTATTTTGCAGAACGCGCTGGCACTCGGAGAAGAAACAGTGGTTGCACTCCTCTTTACATAACAGACGATAGAACAATATATCATTTTCAATAATTGAATTTTTCGTATTTAAATATATATATTTGGTACACCAAAGAATTAAACATGAGTAGCAGTGGAACAATACATAATTATTGGATCATTTTGCAGATTTGATAGGTCAACCTTTGGTAGATTTTATATTGAACATTTTCCCCAGAGCCATGTGTTTAAACCTCAAAAAACATTTTTTCCTCTTAATTCTTTATTTAGTTCCCTGAATTTTTCAATTTGTTATCTGAACCTATTCTTTACTGATGTCTTTCACTTTCTCATTTTTGCTCCCTGCACCCTCTCCCTAAAAAATATTTGAATTCTCTTCCCTTCATTTTTTTTTCTTCTTTCAGTTGGGGCCCATGAGAACTATCTCCCCGTAAGCAAGATGAGAGCAGTTGGAGTAATATTTGTCGTTACTATTAGATCTTTAGATGCTCGATGACTGATTTATATGAGTGTTTGGTTGCCATAATATTGGACTTTGTGCAAAACCTTGTCACTTTTTCTTCTAATGTTAGTAGAAGAATCTGTATAAGCTTCATGGAAAATTAAATCTAGTGACACAACTATGTGGATGTCCTTCAAATTATAGTTTTGAGGATTAATTTTTCCTCTTTTAGAGAGTTGCATTACCATAGTTGAATTTCTTAGAAATGATGCATGGATATGTGGTTTTGGAGGCTTTCTCTTGTGCTTTGGGCATCATGCCTTAGTTTAGTTGAGGAATGCTATGTTATTCTATGCATGTATATGTGGTGTTGGAAGGCTTTCTGTTGTGCTTTGGTGCCATCAGGCTTTGTTAAAGAATGTCATGTCATGTATTTTAGTTTTGTAATTAATTTTGAATTTCTGCAATAAATTTGTTTCAACAAGAAAACCTCGCAATACAGCTTCGTGTGGCTGTAGGTGCAGTGTCTTTTAGACAGTAAAAAGGTACAACCAGATCAGTCCCTATTGGATGGGGGTTTGTGTGGGGGTCAGAGTTTTAAAAGGCTTTCTTGAGGCTCGCCTCGATACTCGCCTCGCCTTGAGGCTAAAGTAAAACGCATCAAGGCTTTGATTTTTAGGCATTACTCCCCAAAGGCTTGCGCACCATAGTTTGAGACATGAGCCTTAAGTGCGCTTTTTACGCTTTTTGCACATAAGCATGTGGGGAGTATACACATGCAGAAGTTGCCTTGGGCATTTGTTAAACTTAGTCTATTAGATTGTTCAAACCTAAAAAATTAAAAAGAATCCATTTTTATAACTATATTCTACAGGAAAAATTAAGTAAATGATTAATCAAGAAAAACACAGTTAATGGTCAAGTGAGAAACTCAATCACTGAAGTTAAGAATATCAATTTCTCCTTTAGTGAAGGAAAACTTCCTTTTATGTAGTAAAATGTTCAACGCATTAAAGCGAAAAGTATTTACACATATATATTTAATTTTTTTTTAAAACTATTTAAAAATATTTAATTTATTCAGTAAATATTAAAATTTGAAATTTGAAATGCTTACGCCTCAACGCCCTGAGGCTTACGCCCTGCCTCATGAGGGGTAAACGCCTCAAGGTACGCATTCACCTTTAAAAACTTTGGTGGGGGTAGATTGGGTATAAACATAACCTTTTCCTTTATTTATTTATTTTTGCATTCTAATTAAAAATTTATTCAACAATCTCTTAATAAATGAGGATTAGTCAAGGTGAAGTTAGTTGGTTATGGGGGTAGGAAAAATTCCTGAGATTTGGTTGAACCCATATGTCAATGATACTATATTTGCATGAATTTGGACAATGATTGTCTTTCCTTGGTTCTGACTTTATGTTAATGTCTTTTTGTTTTTTCATTTCTTTTCCTTTCTACCAAGTAGGTCAATATTCTTGGATGATGAGATTTTATTCCTATTGTTTTTGGTCTTTGACAGAGTAAAGCAAAGGTAGAAAAAAATCAAGCAATGGAACATTCAATGAGTGAGAACTCATGTCAGTTATGTGCAGTTGAGAAGCTCACTTTTGAGCCACCACCTATATATTGTACGCCGTGTGGTGCTCGTATTAAAAGAAATGCAATGTACTACACCATAGGAGCTGGTGATACGCGGCACTACTTTTGCATTCCGTGCTATAATGAGGCCCGTGGAGACAATATCCTTGTAGATGGAACTGTTATTCCGAAGGCAAGGCTGGAGAAGAAGAAAAACGACGAGGAGACTGAAGAATGGGTATGCTATATCCTTTTTATTTGATGGTCCTTACATGGGCTTTGTTGTATCTAACCTTTGGCTCTTTATACAGTGGGTTCAATGTGACAAGTGTGAGGCTTGGCAACATCAAATCTGTGCATTGTTTAATGGTCGAAGGAATGATGGTGGGCAAGCTGAATACACGTGTCCGAATTGCTATATAGACGAAGTTGAAAGAGGAGAGCGTATGCCCTTACCGCAGAGTGCTGTTCTAGGGGCAAAAGATTTGCCTAGAACAATTCTCAGTGACCACATAGAGCAGCGATTATTTAGGCGGTTGAGGCAGGAAAGACAAGAGAGGGCAAGGGTTCAGGGGAAGAGTTATGATGAGGTGATTCATTTCACTTTCCACATGATGTTATATGGGATAGTGGTCAATGCTTTATTGTTAAATATGTTACAAGTATGAATGTTATTTGCATGATGTACATGTGCTGAAATCCATTAATTTCTACTTATGAAATGCTCAAGAATTTTTATTAGGTCTAGTGGACGAATTGCCAAATAGTTGCACATTTCATACTTCAATTCTAAAATTGAATCAACAGTGTTTCGTTTCCAGCTCCTTTCATTTCATTTTAAAAAATATTGGGTGTCACTCTGTAAGAATCAGTTATTAAACCCTGCACCCCTGCTTTTGGTTAAACTCTCTTTATCTATGTGTGTGCGCATGCATGAACATGTGATTTGACTAGCTGATGGATTCCTTTTTACTTTCTTCTTCTAAAAGACTAATCTAGGTGATTGTTTCAAATTGATGCTTGGAAAGGTTGTTTAATTCCTCTCCACTGTTTCTAATGTTTGGAAAAACTTAGTTGTTAAACCCTCCTCTCTACATTCATTCTCATGTAATCGGAGACTAGTCTAGGCCATATTACAGGCAATTGCTATTGATCTTTTTGTTTTTGTTTATATCTGCATGTCATTGACATTTGTGGTTGCTTGGTGATTCTCTATGGGTTGGAGTTGCTGCACATCACATTTCGGTGTTTGATTTGCTTCGTAATGTGCAGCTCAGACTGCTAATTCATGCGAAGGGTTTGAACTTATTTTTGCTATTGATATTGACAGGTTCTAGGAGCAGAATCACTTGTAGTTAGAGTTGTGTCATCAGTTGACAAAAGGTTGGATGTTAAGCAGCGATTCCTCGAGATTTTTCAAGAAGAGAATTATACAATAGAATACCCATATAAATCCAAGGTATGCAGAGTGTAGAATACCCATAGTATTTTTGTGTTGCATTGGTGACTATGTCACCTGTGGTATTTTAATTATGGAAGAAAATTTTCTTCTTCCAGGTAGTATTGTTATTTCAGAATATTGAAGGTGTGGAAGTATGCCTGTTTGGCATGTATGTTCAAGAATTTGGATCTGAGTGTCACCAGCCCAATCACCGCCGCATTTATCTCTCATATCTGGATTCCGTTAAGTATTTCAGGCCTGAGATTAGAGCAGTCACAGGAGAGGCACTCCGCACATTTGTTTACCATGAAATTCTGGCAAGCTTCTAACTATGAGTCCAAATACTCTAGAGTGATTTTTCGTAGTGATCTTAGAATGATTTTTTGTTTGTATGGTTGAGATTTTTTTTAAAGTTATTATCAACATTATTGTACCATCAATTTAGTACTATTGTTCCCTCAAATTTTGTAGAATTAAATCTCAGCAATTCAAAAAATCACTCTAAGATCAGTCTTTGAAAAATCACTCTATGAAAAATCACTCTAGAGGATCCGGATTCAGCTCTTATACTTCATTTTTGTCTGCTGATTAATATATAGTTTGTCTTGTTGGCACTTCTTATTCGTCTCCTTTATTTGTTTTTTATTTGTCATCATCAGCATCATTATTATTGATTTCCTTATCTGATTCTCTTTCCAGATTGGATATCTGGAATATTGCAAGAAACGTGGTTTCACAAGTTGCTATATATGGGCTTGCCCTCCATTGAAGGGTGAAGACTATATTTTATATTGCCATCCAGAAATTCAAAAAACACCAAAATCTGATAAACTCAGAGAATGGTGAGCCAAATAACCTTCAGATATGTGATTATTTTGATGTTTGTATTATGAAACAAGCTTTATTTTTTTCATGGATGACTTTCTTTTTAATTTAGGTACTTGTCAATGTTAAGAAAGGCTGCAAAAGAAGGCATTGTGGTTGAGCTCACTAATTTATATGATCATTTCTTTGTATCCACTGGGGAATGCAAGGCCAAGGTAACTGCAGCTCGGTTGCCTTATTTTGATGGGGACTACTGGCCTGGTGCTGCAGAGGATATGATCTATCAGCTTCGTCAAGAAGAAGATGGCAGAAAACAACATAAGAAAGGGACAACCAAAAAGACCATAACCAAAAGGGCTCTAAAAGCATCTGGTCAATCTGATCTTTCTGGAAATGCATCGAAGGATTTGCTACTGATGCACAAAGTAATACTAATATCCAATGTGTTAGTTTAATCATTTTCCTGAGACCTGTGTTCACATTCCTTTTATTTTAACTAAGTTATGTTATTCAACTTAAAACTTCTTAACTATTGCTGTTGTTTATCTGATTTCCACCTCCCCCCCCCCCCCCTTTCCAATTTTCCTGTCTATATTTGGTAGTGTCAAACTTATGTTGTGATTGTTGTAATGCTGTCATACCATAAAAAGATTGTAGTTCTTGATTTTTTTTATGGTTATTATGTTTTATACTTTTTTATGGCCTTGAATTGAGCCAGCTGGAGAGACTTTATTCATGTAGCCAACCCCAACTAGTTGGGACTGAGGCTGTTGACTTGACTACGATGTTTTTAATACTGTTAAGCCATTTGAAATTGAATATTTATTAGTTTGGAGATATTACTATTTTGCTCTTACAAGTTATTGATTTTTTTTTTTCAGCTTGGTGAAACGATTTGCCCAATGAAGGAAGATTTTATTATGGTTCACTTGCAGCATGCATGCACGCATTGCTGTATTCTAATGGTATCTGGAAACCGTTGGGTTTGCAACCAGTGCAAAAATTTTCAACTTTGTGACAAGTAAGAGTCATGCAATCTTAGCTGTATTGTTGTTTCTAGTGCCATATTTCTTTCTTTTTTTTACTGCAAATGTATTCACATGTTTTACTTGATAAATTCTTTACTATGAGTCCATTCACATGTCAAGCTCTTGCGTTATTGACTTGCCTTTGGTTGCCAAGGCTGTAGCAAAAATGGAAATTAATGGGAAAGGGAAGTGAAAAAGTATTTAAGGCATGCTATGAAGCATGGATATAGGATACGGATACGGATACGGGTACGATATGATATGATACAGATATGGCAATACGACAAAACCTTAAAATATAGGATACGTTGGAAAAAATTTACAATTTTTAGTATTGTATTATACTAATAGAATAATTTGAATTATGTAATAGTTTAAAATTGATTATATTGCCCTTGTGCTTTTTTCTTTTAGACTTACAAAGTACTATATGCAAAAGTATTTTATGTAAATTTGCATTCTAATTTAATTATTGAAATTTAATTTTATCATTATATATTTTTTATTTTTTATTTTTCTAGAAAGTATGGATATGGATATGGAACACATTTATGAAACAGTAATGATACATTAATTTGATAAAATCTGAAAAAACTAGGGTACTAGTTTAATCTTGTGATTTTCTTCTTTTGTAAGAAATAAGAAAAGTATTGAAAAATTATTTTTGTATTTAAAGAAGCCCAAACACTTTTGCGTATAAAGCTTGTTTTGTCAAACGCCAACACTCTTCGGGCACTCCTAAAAGCGTGTTGACATTTCTTTAACTTTTCTTAATTATAAATCCAATTCATAATATCAGATACTTTACCGACACGTCAAGGACACTTAGATGATACTTCTTGAACTCTCCAAACACCCCCTATTAATCTCTTAATAATAACAATGTTTGCATTCTTCATAACACAACTTATATACTCTAGTATGTTTGAAACATTTATAAGATGAATACACCAAGTGTATTACAATGTTCTATAATTGTTTTGTATTGTTTAGAATGTAATTGTTATGTGAATGATTTCATGATGTTTATGAAATATATAATTTTTTTAATGTAACTAGTGTTATGTTATATATTTTTCATTTTCTCTAAGTAAATTATTCGTATATATGACATAATAAATTTGTAAAAATTATAAAATAAATGTGTTCCAAGCCTGTCGTGTCTTGCATTTTTTAAAAAGTCAACGTGTCCGTGTCTTGTGCATGTCTGTGCTTAACATGTATTTATCATCATAACAATTATATTCTAATATTATGCAATAATTATTACAATCTTAAAATTTTTCTAGTAGTTCAGATACAACCTAGAGTACTTGAACAATATATGATATTTTTAAAAATTATTATGAAGTATCTCATCCGTTTAGGAAGTATAGGAGTATCGGTGTATCTGAAATGCGTACGAATCTACGATACATTATACATATACGAACAATATATGATATTTTTAAAAATTATTATGAAGTATCTTATCCGTTTAGGAAGTATAGGAGTATCGGTGTATCTGAAATGCGTACGAATCTACGATACATTATACATATACGACCCCTTCTAGAAGTATCTGTGCTTCATAGAAGGCAAGGTCTCAAAATGGTAATGCCATGGATCTGCTGGAATTCCAAAGTCCAATAATTTGATGGCATGTTTAAAAAAGGGTTAAGTAATAATATCTATTTATATAAGAAAATAAAAATCACACATGTAAAAAGGCCGTTTATGACTGTCACAGTAGCTGTTGCTGCTGTTATGACTGTATGTAATGGTTGGCCATTTTGAGGTATTTTGTTCTACTTAGAATTGTGTTTGGTATTTGCACGGTCTTGTTTCTCGTGTTAAGATTGAAGATTTAGAAGACAAAAATTGTAAAATTATCTAACCATGAAGAGCGCTTCATTTTAAAAATAAAAAATTAAAAGTTGATGTGCAATTTTCTTTGTACTTCTTGTTTTGATGTGGAAAATATGTGATATAGAGATACTGATGTAGCCAATAGCATCTGTTGGCCATTATATTTGTTGTATTATATGCTCTGTTATCAGAATCTTACGATTCGCGATTCGATTCACGATTCGATTCTCAATTTTTGCAAAATCGATACGAATCTAAGGGTGAATCTATTTTGGAAGTGAATCTCTAGTGAATCGCACGATTCACAATCGATTCACGATTCGATTCACTTTTTACGATTCATGCAATTTTTAAAATTATTGTATTCGACATATTTTTGACTCTATTTTTTCTCCATCTTTTTAGTAAAAATGACATAATGCAACTTCTAATAGCATTTAATATCAAAATAACCAGCATATATACATGATTTGTTGTTATTTTAGTGATCATGAAGTTTTCAATAGAATCCAATTAGATTTAATCAGACCTAACATATTTTTAACCTTTCTTCTCATTTTTTTTTCCTTTAAAAAATCATAATATATCTCAAAATGGTAATGCCATGGATCTGCTGGAATTCCAAAGTCCAATAATTTGATGGCATGCTTAAAAAAGGGTTAAGTAATAATATCTATTTATATAAGAAAATAAAAATCACACATGTAAAAAGGCCGTTTATGACTGTCACAGTAGCTGTTGCTGCTGTTATGACTGTATGTAATGGTTGGCCATTTTGAGGTATTTTGTTCTACTTAGAATTGTGTTTGGTATTTGCACGGTCTTGTTTCTCGTGTTAAGATTGAAGATTTAGAAGACAAAAATTGTAAAATTATCTTACCATGAAGAGCGCTTCATTTTAAAAATAAAAAATTAAAAGTTGACGTGCAATTTTCTTTGTGCTTCTTGTTTTGATGTGGAAAATATGTGATGTAGAGATACTGATGTAGCCAATAGCATCTGTTGGCCATTATATTTGTTGTATTATATGTATTACCGTTGGACCGACTAATATTTGCTTGTGTTTTCTCTTTTTCTTATGATTTTGATAGTGCCTTTAAAATTAGGTATATAATTATTGGAGTTAATGACGTTTCCTTAATAGATGAAATTCTATTCTTTTGTTGCCTTAATATAAAATTCAATATTTGATTAAAAAGAAGAAAATTGGATAATATTAAATTTTACATGTGGCTTGTCCAGGGCTTTGGATAATTATGCTCAGGGTCAACTTTAGCATTATTTTTATGTATTTTATAGGTTAGAATGGTTTTGGATTCGTTGATTAGGTTTTAGGTGTCAAGAGTATGTTAGTAATATTGCAAATTGTTGGACTTGGATTATAGGGGTGCCCATGGGCTATTTTATGGGTTCTTTAGTGGTTCGTTATGGGTTTGGTTGATCTAGATGTTTTGGCTTTTGTAGATTTTGTGGAGGATTTGATATCTTAGCATTATTTCCCTTAGGGGACTGAATTTTTGTATTCTTTGTATCATCTTGATGCTTTTCTATAAAGTAGGTTTATTATCAAAAAAAAAAAAAAAATTTATGAGTGATTTGATTTTAAGTAGGTACAGTACAGAATAGCCTAGTGATTAAAAAGTCTCCTAATCTTTTAGTCCTTGTAGAATTAGGAGATCCAACTGTGAATATATTGTGAATCTTAATCTTAGAGTCCTATTAGAGAAGTGATTGTATTAGAGTCCTATTAGAGGCTTGATTGTATTAGAGTCCTATTAGAGGCTTGATTGTATTCTCCTGTTTGGTTTAGGAGTTAGGGCGAAGTTAGGGCTATATAAATCTAAGGTTTGGTTGTAATCAAAGATACAAGTTGTATATACAATTCATCTAGAAATCTTACATGGTATCAGAGCTACTAAAACCCTACCTCCGTTTCTGATTCAGTCTGCCAAAACCCTTGTCGCCGGAATTCTGGTTCATTGCTTCATGATTGATGGTCGTGAAGTCATCTCTCGCTCTGTCCCAAGTCGTCTCCCTCTCTGAGTCGTCTTCCTCTCTGGCGTGACCCATCTATGCGCGAGTTCAAGACGTCTCCCTCCCTGAGTTGTCTCCCTCTCTGGCGTGACTCATCTGTTCGCGAGTTCAAGTCGCGATTAGGGCTTCAACCTCGACTTCGGCACTTCTCCTTCCACTTAGCCCTCATCACGACTCAGAGCCTTGTTCGATTCTCTCTCTTGATTCCTCTCGTCTCTTTCTCTGATTCGAGTTCTCAGATTAACAGATTGGTGTACTTCTGGTTACCAACTTGGGTTATTAAACCCTATTTTAGGCTTATTTCAGTTTGACCCAGCATTCTTTTATTTATTATACTTTGCCCCATCGGTCCTCTTCTTTACTTCTGGTTCATTACAATGTCGGAAGATAAAATCCAAGCTATTAAATGTAAGCTTACAAGTGACAACTATGCTTATTGGTCTAGTGTTATGAGAAATTTTCTTCTCAGTCGAAAAAAATGGAGATATGTTTCTGGTTCTGTTCTTCGTCCATCAGATCCCAAAGAAGAAGACTATTTGAGTTCCTGTAACACTTGGGATTGTGATAATGCTCAAGTTTTGACCTTGTTCCATAACTCTGTAGATGACCGGATCGGGATGATGTTCTCTAAATATAGCACTGCCAAAGAGGTGTGGGATTACTTACAAAGTTATTTATCAGCAGTCCAACTTTGCCAAACAGTATGAGTTGGAAATAGCTATTCAGGGAGCTCGTCAACGGGATCTGTCTATTCAAGACTTCTACATTGAGATGACAGGCCTCTGGGACTAGTTGGCTCTCATGGAACCATCTAGCCTCAAGACACTTGACGCTTATGTTGAGTTTCGGGAGCAAGGTCGTTTAGTGCAATTCTTAACGACTCTCTCCCCTCAGTATGAGGCTATCCGTGGTGGCATCCTTCATTGGTCTCCTCTCCCCTCTCTGGATGCTATTGTTCGTGAACTCCTCTCTGAGGAAACCCGTCTTAAGACGGCCAGTCAGACTCTGTCTTCATCTGACTTCTTGGCTCCTACTCCGTCTCCTCTGCTACTGAACCCCCCATCTTATCAGCTTCAGGCCAATGCAAAATCCAAAAAGGGGCCACTAGCCT